GATTGTAAAAAAACAGGATTGCAAAAAAACAGGTTTTTGCAATCCCAGGTTTTTTTGCAATCCCAGGTTTTTTTGCAATCCGCGGGCCTCCGAAAGTTTATCCATTCGCCATGGGGAACATCCCGACCTCTGCGCGGACGCCCTGACCCCAGGACTCCTTTTCCCACAGGTTGGACAAGTGCCGTTTCTTGTTCCTCGACGAGCTGGCCTCGCAAGGGCACCTTCATGGCCCGCTCTCTCCTGAGAGGTCACCCCTCCTCCTCCTCCTCCTCCTCCTCCTCCTCCTCCTCCTCCTCCTCCTCCTCGGGAGGGGTAGGCTCGGGTAGCGATGCATCGGCCCCCCATCGCGTATTCATCGCCAACGGGGGCCCGACAGGAGCACCCCGCCCAGGACCATGCGGTGTCGCTACCACGGGCCCACTGCTAGCCCACGGGCAAGGCATCCCCGATTCGGGCTCGACAGTCTCCCCTGCGCTGGTTCCCCTTACCCGTCGGTCGCTGAATTTCTGGGTTCCCAGGAGTACTTTAGGCATTTTCCCAATTCCATCATCGAGTGCCTTGTTCCTTTTCCATGTCAGTGGGCGGGCGGAAGCCCCATCCACTTCAGCGCCTCCTTCCAACCCGTGTTTCTTACCGACATCTTCCGACCGATGAGTATCGTTTCCTCCTTCTCTGGCGCACCCCGCGAGTGGGCTCGGATGCGGCTGCCGCGCCGATGCCTCTCGGGGCCTTTCCTGGCTGCGCAGGAGCAGCAGACCCTCGCCGGGCGGGGGGGCGCCACTTCCGAGGGACCACGGGGCCGGCTGCCCTGGGAGGGGGGGGGGCAGGGAGAGGGGGGTGCTGGAGGAGTACGATGATGATGATGATGATGATGATGATGATGATGATGATGATGATGATGATGATGGTGATGTCCATGGTGATGATGATGATGATGATGATGATGATGATGATGATGATGATGATGATGATGATTATGATGACGTCGATGACGATGACAATGATGAGGATGGTGATGACTATGATGATGGATGAGGACGGGCGGAGAAGAAGGAGGATGATCATGAGCATGAGGATGGGGAGTGTGATGGTGGTGATGATGACGACGATGGTGATGATGATGACGATGCTGATTATTATGATGATGATTATGATGATGCGCATGATGATGGTATCGATGAGATAACGATGATGAAAGGAGGCGGGGGAGCACGAGGAGGAACATGAGGATGGTAATGATGACAACGACGCTGGTGATGATGATGATGCTGATGATGATGATGATGCTGATGATGACGATGATGATGATGATGATGGTGTTGCTGACGATGTCAATGACGATGGTGATGATGACGTTGAGGTGACGATGATGATGATGGCAAGGAGGAGGAGGAGGACCAAGAGGAAGAGGAGGATGAGGATGGTGATGGTGATGATGGTGATTGCAGTGATGTCGTCAATGGTGAAGATCATGATGGTGCTAATGATGGTGGTGCTGATCATGATTCCGATTATGTCGATGACGCTGGTGATGATGATGCGGATGAGCTGGTTCATGAGGAAGAGGAGGATGCGGAGCATGAGGATGAGAATAGTGATGGTGTGGTGGTGACGGTGACAATCATGATGATGATGATGATGATGACGGTGATGTTGATGCTGCTGCTGATGATGATGATGATGCAAATGATGCCGGTAGCGATGGTGATGCTGATGAAGCCGATGAGATGTAGATGGTGATGAAATTGCGGATAATGTCGATCACGACGGTTATGATGTTAGTGTTGATGATGCGATGATGATGATGATGGTGATGATGATGATGATGATGATGATGATGATGATGATGATGCGGGGGAGAAGGAAGAGAAGGAGGAGGAGGAGGATAATGAGCATGCGGATGAGGATAGTGATGATGATGGTGGGGATGATGATGACGATGGTGAAGATCGTGAACGTGACGATGTTTGTTATGATAATGCTGATGATGGTGCTGATGATGTTGATGCCGATGGTGATCACGATGCTTATGACGATGATGTGATGTGATGATCATGACGATTCTGATGGAACTGATGACTTGGAGATTGAGGAGGAGGAGCATGAGGATGGGGATGAGGATGAGGACGATGGTTGTGATGATGACGATTGTGGTCATCATGATGATGATGATGCTGATGATGCTGATGCTGATGATGCTCACGTGATGATGACTGTGGTGACGGTGATGAGGATGTTGACGAGATGATATGATGATGATGATGATGATGATGATGATGGTGATGCTGACGATGACGATGGTGATGTTGAGGATGCTGGTAATAATGCTGGTGATGGGACTGGTGATGATGATGCCGGTGACGATGATGATGGTGAACATGATGAGTGCTGCAAACGATGACGATGTTGATGCTGATTATACCAACGATGCCCATGATGATGGTGATGATGACGATACTGGTGACGATGATGCTGATGATGATGATGATGATGATCGTAGTGGCGATGATGATGATGATGCGGAGGAGGAGGAAGAAGAGGATGAGCATGAGGATGGGATTGAGGATGGTGTTTGCGATAATGGTGAAAATGACGACCAAGGTGATGCCCATGATGGTGATGCTGATGTTGATGCGATTGATGGTGATAACGATGCTGGCACTGTCGATATCGACGTTGATGGTGAGAATGTTGTTGAGATGCTGATGAGGAAGAGGGGGAGGAGGAGGGAAGGGAGCATGACGATGAGGATGAGGATGGTGCTGGTGATCGTGATGATGATGCCGACGATGGTATGATGACGATAATGCTCATGATGTTGATGCCACTTGCGATGATGATGATGTTGATGAAACAAGGGTGATCATAAAAATGCTGACGATGGTGATGCCGATGGTGCTGGTGACCATGATGATACACGCGATGTTGATGATGAGATAATGATGAGGTGAAGATGATGATGCTCATGACGATGATGCAACTGCCGTTTATGGCGATGACGATTGTGATGATGATAAAAGTTTTGATGCTGACGGTGATGATGATAATGCTGAACATGATTATGATTAGATCGATGATGCTACTGATAATGCTGATGCTGATGCTGATGACAATGATGCTGAGGAGGAGGAGGAGGAAGATGGTTGTGGTGTTGGTACTGTTGTGGGTGAGGATGAGGATGATGATGAACATGAGGATGAGGAGGAGGAGGAGGAGAAGGAGGGGAAAGTGAGGAGCGGGATTTCGTGTAGCAGTGGTCCATCGGATCCAGTGCCCCCCTCTCAGCTGGGGGCTAGTTCGCCTCTGCCTGCCCCGCTCGCAGACGGCGCTCAGAGCAGTTCAGAAGCCCTTTGTCTTCGTCGGTTCGTTCCAGTCTTTCCCGAACTGGGAACCACCAGGCTGCAGCCCTTGCTCGGCCCTCGCCAGTTTCTGCTTCTTCCCCACTTGCCTCAACTCTCCGTCGCATCCCTTAGCGAGGGCCTCCAGCTGCTGCCGCCCAACAAACTCCGTACGACGTGCAGCAGTGCACTTAAAGCGTCCTGTTGTGCTTGTGCGCATGACCGGGGTGAATGGCTTGATGCACCACTCAGGCGCGAAGTGCCTGCGGAGCCATGTGCGCCGACACCTCGGCCTGCACCAGCGCTACGTAGTCCTCATCCAGCCACTTCTCGCCCTGGCTCTTCGGCACTCGCGGCCTGCAGTTCTCGCAGACGTAGATCGTCGCCTCCTCGTTCATCTTGTGCTTCGTGTCCTTCACGAGCTTCAGCCTGCGTACCTCCTTCTTGAATGTGTCCTTCTTAGCCCTTGAGGGGGTATGAGACGGCTCCGCTTCCACCGCTGCCATGTAGATTGCCGCCCTGACTCGGATCGTATCCGCGGTCCTCACTGCACAGCGCACCGTCTTCGCCTCCGCCCTACGATGATGGTGATGGGAAGGAGAAGATGAGGAGGAGGGCGAGGATGCGGATCGTGATGACACATGGGAACCATAGGATGGAGATGGTGTGGGTGATGATGAAACAGAGAATGATGAAACGGATCTTGGCAAAGCTGCTGATGATGATGATGACGATGAGAATGATGATGATGATGATGCTGATGATGATGATGATGATGATGATGATGATGCTGATTCTGGTGATGGTGATCATGAGGAGGAGGGGGCGGAGGAGAAGGAGGAGGAGGAGGAGGAGAAGAAGAAGGTGAAACATGTAGGGCAAGTAGAGAAGAGTAATGACGGACAGGATGCAGGATGGATGACCAGGATAAGACTGGCGGGTAGAGAGGGAGAGGCGAAGACGGAGGGCGGGAGCACGGAGGCACGGACGAAGGGAATGTAATGTAAATGGCAGGGGGGGGGGGGCGAGAGCGCAGGAAGGAAGGGCAGGAGGGGGAGGGAGCAGGAAGCCAGCCGTGGCGTGAAGGCGGCGGCCATGACAGCACAATGCCACAAATGTTGATGAGCAACCCTGCTCGCTCCTTTACCCAGAAGTTGTGGGGGCGGAGGTCGACTTCAAGTTCTGCCTGACCTGGCACAGGAACGAGTGGCAGACCGACGGCCAGCTCATCCACAGAATTATGGATGGGGTGATGGCCAGGGTGGACCCGCCAGCATCGCCCCTTCCCCCCCCCCCCGGTTCTCCCTGCTGCCAGTTCGCTGGGCCATCGTGGGCCATCCTCGTCGCGACGGCAAAACGCGGGCGGGGACACTGGGACACGGGCAGGACAGTGCCGAGGAGACCCCCCCCCTTTGCCGCGATGCCTCCCCGAGCTGGAGGCTGGAGATGCCTCGAGCAGGACTCCGAAGAGCAGCGACCCCACGCCAGCACTCGTGCCCTCCGCTGCTCCCTGACGATGGTGGGGGTGGCGATGTTGGCGTGCAGCATTGTACGCATAGTGTACTTGTCACTTGCACGCGAGTGTATCACATGGCCGGTCGCGGAAACCCTATATCCCAAACTGTTGACGCCTCACGTTTTTAGGCATTCCCGCCGTATCCCGCGCACCAATCAGTCGATCAATGGCGCCCGCCATGTCTGCGCGGCAAATCGGCTGAAGCAGTGCCGCTGGCTGGAGGCGGAGGCGCGTGTCCGCCATGGCACCAAGCAGGGACAGTTCAGGCTCTGGTACGAATCGGAGGAGGAGCAGCAGCAGCAGCGGAGGCGTGGACATATACACCCACCAGACATCTTAAGCAAACACAGGAACTTGCATGGGCTCCAGGTTCCTTTCAAGAGTATCGGGAATCTGGACTCGACCCTGGGCGTTCTCTTGCAGCCTGCTTTCTCCGCCGACGGTTCGCACATCTGGACCTGGGTTGTACTGGCCGAAAAGCACTTGGGGTGAAGTGCTCTCTTGGCCCCCTTATGCCGGGGTGCACCGCCGATGCCTGCTCCGCCCGTGCTCCGAGCTTCGCCGATGCTTCGCCGGCGGACCCGCCGCAGAGCTCCCTCCCTCCAGCTGCCGCGCACCGTGCCGCGGGGCCTCTCCGCCCGGAGCGGGCGGGCTGTGCCGAGGGCGTGGTCTTCGGGGGTGGACAGGCCTCCTGCCCTGACGCGTCGATTCAGGAATTGGCCGTTTTCGGCTCGCGAGAGGGCGTCGCGGCCGTCATTTCTGCGGGTCCAGGTCCATCGGCTTCGGTCCCAGGCCGTTTTCACTAAGGGGAGGTTTACTGAAGGCAGGTTTGTCCACCGCCGAGGTCCCTCTGCTCCGGCACGCGGCCGGGAGCGCTCGTCCCCGGCACCCCCCGTGATGTGTGGGCCCTCGTGTTCGGTCCGGAGCGCCGCGAGCGCACCTCCTCCTCTTCGCCGCGGGGGACGCGGGTCTTGAGGGCAACGGGTCCCGAGGCCTCGTCCCCTCTTTCGGATTCTCCGGGGCCCCGCCCGGGGCCCAGAGATTGTCAGACAACGAGTCAGGACGAGGATCTCGTCCTGGGGGAAGGTCACCTAGGTCCCGGGGTCCAGGACCCGGTTCCCTCAGGACCCGTTCCCCCCGTGCGGACTACTCTGCTCCCAGCTGGCTCCGCGTCGCCCTCCCTTCCTCCTCCTGTGTCCTCGCCCCCCGCTCTGTGCTGCTGGGCCCCCGTTTTCCATCCGCGGCGTCGCGGCGTGCACGCCTGCTCCTTCTCCTCCCACGCCCCACTCCTTTTCCCTGTCCCGTTTTGGTTTCGCAGCATCCTGTTGTTATGTGCCTCTCTTTCCATCCACAGCGCCGAGCGCACGCCTCCACATTCTTCTACCGTCTCCCCGTCCTTATCCTCCTCCTCCTCCTCCTCCTCCACCTCTTCCTCCTCTTCCCCCTCCTCCTCCTTATCATCATCATCATCACCACCATTTTTTCCCTCATCATCATCACCGTCATCGTCGCCATCATCAACGGACAATTGTGCCTGATCAATATTATCAGGGGGCCGGCTTCTTGCTCACGACGGGTTTTGTTCCTGTGAGTGCTTGGAAGTGGCGAACTACGTGTAGAAGCGAACGGCTGCGGGCGATGTTGCGTGTGTAGTCTCTGGGCTGAAGACTCCGCCGATCGAGCAGGCTGCAACTCTCGAGCCATTCGGCTTGACCAGCCGACGAGGCACGTCGCCTTCTGGCTCGCTCCTATCGCCCTGTCTCCGCAGATCGCTTGGGTCCTCTCGCCGTTCCTTCGCGTTCACCAGGCTTTCAAGGGTTCTCACACCCCGCGCGCTTTTTGATCTCGCCAGCAGCACGCCTATACACCATCGCGAAGTGCTGAGACAATTACAGAGGCCGGCTGCGAAACATGAAAGCATCATCATCATCACCATCAGCATCACCATCATCATCATCATCATCATCATCATCATCATCATCATCATCATCATCATCATCATCATCATCATCATCATCATCATCATCATCATCATCATTATCATCATCATCATCACCATCATCATCATCATCATCGTCATCATCACCACGATCAACAACATCAGCAGCATCAGCAGCAGCAGCACCAGCACCAGCACCGCCATCAATATCATCTCCCCATCATGCCCTTCCGCCTTCGTTGTGGGGTCCTTGTTGTCTCTCCGCATCGCTGCGCCCTACTTTTTTTCAGCTCGCCCTTATTCCAGGACACCCCGCGCTTCGGGCCCACATGGGGCGCTCCAGAAAGGGCCCCGCGTTCCAAGATCGGAGGAGTTGCCTTCCCTTCCTCGGCGGAAGCTGGCGGAATGCCGGCGGAAGGCGGCGGAGGTAAGCGGAGGCCGCCCCCGCCGTCGGAAAGAGGGCGGAAGCCAGCAGGAGTAAAAGGCAGCCTCCGAATAGATGCCAACTTTTTGGGGGGGTCCAGGTCTGACCCGCCACACGGGGAGCTCCCTCTGCGGCCGAAGTTGATGTGGGCGCATGTCGCCTCGCGCCCCCGGCACATCCCCTCCCACGCCTCCAGGGTTTCTTTCGATTCCTCCGATGCGATTCGATTCGGTTTCGATCGCTTCCGAGGCCGATTCGATCCGACTTGGGATTCCGGTTTGGGTTCCTATTTCTTATTGGAGGCCTACTAGCCTGCAGATTTCTGCCGATTCGGCTTCTCCCGACTCGGCTGCCGATTTCCGACATCCGTTTGATTTCGATCGCCGCTCCAACTTGTCGATTCGGTTCTGGGCCCTCCTGCGCTTCGTGCCCCCACAGGGAGCTCCCCTGCGGCCTTCCTGGGTGTGAGCGCATGCGTGCGGCCCCGCGCCCCTTTCGACCCCACCCCTCCCACGCTGCGTGCCCCCTAACGAGGTCGGGAACCTGCGGAAAGCGTGGCCACGCTTCGGCGCGATGCTCCATCCACCTCGCTGTCCCCAGGGCGTCAACGTCCAGAGCCCTTCGGAGCCTCCCGCCCTGCGGAGCGGAGCGACGCGCTATCCGCTCGCAAGGCTTAGAGTGTCGCCGGGGCCACCGCCGCGACACGCTGAGCTAAAGCTTCTGAACGCTTCGCGCCTGCCACCTTCTCCTCCTCCTCCTCCCTCCTCCTCCTCCTCCTGCTCCTCCTGCTCCTCCTGCTCCTCTTCCTCCTCCTCCTCCTCCTCCTCCTCCCTCCCTCCTCCTCCTCCTCGTCTTCGCCACCTTCTAAGAGCTCCGCGTACGGCATCCGGACCCCCGTGCCGCCGGACGCAGCTCCACCCGCGGCGGCTGCGGGCGTTGGCGCACGCCGTCCCGCCCCCACTGCGGCACGCCCTCACGCGCTTCGTGCCCCCCTGGGGAGTTCCACCTGCGGCCGAAATAGAGAGAGAGAGAGAGAAAACAAACGAAAAGGAGAAAGAGAGAGAGAGAGAGAACCAAAAAAAACGAAAAGGAGAGAGAGAGAGAGAAAACAGCAAATACACAAATAGCCACAAGTAGCCTTTTTTGTCTTTCCTCACGGAGGCGATTGCTTTGGAGGAGTGTGGATCCTGTCCAGAGCAGGCGTGCCGGCTGCAGTACGCTTCACCTTGGAGGCCGTCGGGTACTACTCCTCGTGCAGGTTTATGGCCATGTTGATGGCGCTGCCGCGGTGAACGGCCACGAGGCGCTCCTGCTAGCAGCGTTGTCGTGGCTCCGCTCACTGGGCGACGTGCCGGCGCTACTGGTGGGGGACTTCAGCCTTACGCTTATAATTCGTGGGGCCAGCGTGGAGCCCCTCCTGGCCATGGCCGGCTGGCAGGACGTCCTCGCGCTGGCTGGGCCCACCGGCCTGCCTAGCTCGGGAACCCCATCCAGGATCGACTGCGCGCTCGCCAATGGAGCGGCGATGGAGCGCGTTGTGTCTGCGGCGCTGCGCTGGGACCCAGGGCTCGCGACGCATGCAGCACTCGAGGTGGAGCTGGCCGTCGAGGCGCCAGAGCACGCAGCCATGAGGAGGCGGCACCTTACGCTCCCCGGGCCTGCTGCGGATGGGTGGCCTAGCGCCCGCCAGGCCGTCACCGACGAGGTGCTGCAGGAGCACGAGGCGGCGTTTCGCGCAGGCCTCCGCCACGACCGTATCGCTGACTCTTGGGGCGCGCTGCAGGCTGCTATGCGCCAGTGGCTGAGCCGGCGCATGGGCCACCTGCAGGGGCGGGAGCGGCGGGTGGTACGCTTGCGAGAGGTGGCAGGCGAGTCGCCCCCGGGCCACAGTTGCCAGCGGCGAGGCGTGCGACAACGCTGCCGATGCTGTGTTGCTCTGGCTCTGGCGGCTGCGCCCCGTGCGCCATGCCGCGAGCCGCTGGGGTCTCGGGTGCCATCAGGCGCGGGCCGTTGCCTTGGCCCTGTGCCAGGACGATCCGGACGGGAGCGCATGGGCGGCGGAGCTGCAGAGGCTCACCGTGGTGCCAGGCTTGCTTGCGAGCTGTCTCCAGAGGGCCGAGCTCGAGTATGAGGAGGCGCAGCGGGCTGCTCGCGACCGCCGCCGTAGCTCCTGGCGCGAGTGGGCGCAGCAGGCGATGGCAGATGGCGGAGGCCGGCTGTGCATGTGGATCCGCTCGGACGGCGCCCTGGGGGTCGCCCTCGTGCCTGACCCTGGAGCCCATGGCGGCGCGGCAGCTTCGCCGCATGGTGACCGGCGTTGGAGCTGCTCTCTGCGAGGCGGCGGCGCTGCCCATTTCCGTTACCTGGAGCACCACTGGCGGGCATTGTGGCAAAGGGGCACGCCGCCGACACCTCGCCTTGAGCGGTGGCTCGTCGAGCTCGACTCCCTACCTCCTTTCCGGGAGAGGGCGCCTTGGACGGCTGATCTGGTCCGCATGATCCTCCAAATGATGGCGAAGAACAAGGCGCCAGGCTTGGACGGATGGGCCGTTGCGGAGCTGCGCCGCCTGCCCACCGAGCTGCTCGACTGGATCGCGGAGCTCTTCGAAACAGTCGGGCACATGGGCCCCTGGCCACAGGAGTTGTGCAGTCCAGAAGATCAGCTGCTTCCCAAGGCTGGCGACGGCAGGCAAATATGGGCCGCAGGCCGGTTTGGCTGCTCCCCATGCTGTACCGCGTCTTGGCCGCAGGCAAGGCGCAGTTGTTTGCGCGATGGCGTGTGGCGACGCTGACGGCAGCATCGGCTCCGAGGAGCTCGCGTGGCACTTCGCCCTCGAGCTGGAGGCCGCGGAGGCAGCCAGAGAGGCCATTTGTGGCGCAGTTCTTGACTGGCACAAGGCCTTCAACCACGTCAGCCTGCAGCTCTTGGAGCAGGTGCTGTTGCGTGCTGGCGTTCCCGAGTGGATGCGCGGCCCTCTCCTCGCCACCGACACTGCGCCCCGCAAGCTGCGCGTCGATGGCGGCCTCGGCAGCCTGTGGGTGCCAACAAGAGGGATTGTCTCTGGCTGCGCGCTGGCCGTTTTCGTGCTCAGTGTCTTGGTGCGGCCGTGGTACCGGCGCGCGGTGCGAGTGGGCGACGGTTTATAAAGCGCCGCGTGTATGTCGATGACCTCACGCTGTGGGCGCGCGGGGGCCCAGACGCCACTGCCGAGGCGGTCGCCGAGGCCCCGCGGACCACCCGAGCGTGCGAGGCAGACTTGGATTGGCGGCTGCACGAGGTCAAGAGCTGACAGTTCGCCCACCTGGCCTCTGTCCGGCGGTGGCTCCAGAACGAGAGTCCGTCGATCTCAGCTGGGACTGAAATCCGCGATCTCCGGGTCGCCGCGGTCGCCGGCAAGCGGCGCAAGCACCCCGTGGCCTCGGCGCGGGTGCAGTTGGCCTGCGGCCGCTTTGCATGCATCCGCCGCCTGCCCGTGCCCTTCCGCTGGCGGTGCCTGATGGGAGCCTCCGCCGGCAGTGCCACGAGCACCTACGGCTCCTCTTGTAGCCGCCTGGCCGCGAGCGAGCTGGAGCGGCTGCGCCGCGCTGCCAGGACTGCCACCGGGCTGCCGCCGAGATCATTATTTGGCGTGCTCAGCCCCACGTGGCGCCTGGATCCCAAGGCAGCGGTGATCGTCGCGCTGGTGCTGCAGGCTGCGCGGGCGCTCCGGGCCAGCCAGCTCGACCTCGCCGCGTGGCGCAACACCTCCTCGGCGGCAGTCCGCGCTGGAGCTGGGCGCGCCGTCGGGCCGGTGGCCGCTGCCTTGCGCAGCTGGCGCGAGCTGGCCCTGTGCGACGAGTGGGCGTGCTGTCTGCTCCGCACGGCTGGCGCCCTGCAGAGCGGTCGCGGCGATCCACGGAGCGCGTGGTGTTGGCGGCGCGGCATCGGGCGGAGCGCTGCAAGGTCGCGTCCCGCCAGCCGTGCTTGGCCGACTTGGCCAGCGGCGTGGACAGGTGGGCGACGCGCCGCTTGCTTGCCGCCGACGCCCTGGCGCCTGAGGCCGCCAGTGCCCTGCGCAGCGTCATGTGTGGCAGCGTCGTCACCGAGGCCATCGCGGCGAAGTGCAACGGCAATGCCGGCATTTGCCCGCGCTCCGGGCTGGCCCCCGAGGATCTCGAGCATCGCCTTTGGCTGTGCCCAGCGCGCGAGGACCCACGCCGCGCCGCGCTGGCCGCGGCGCCGCGGACCGAGACGCCCAGCGACGCCAGGGCTCTGTGGCAGTTGCTGGCCGGCGTCGCTTCCACTGGAGTCCTCGCGACGTCTCCTTTGCTCGCCGCCCTTGCAGAGGCAGCGGGGAGCGAGTGCCCGCAGCTTACGCCCCAGGCCGCGCTGCTCCCCGACGCGCCCTGCCGGACGGTGTGTAGCGACGGGGCCTGCCTCCGCCCTTCCGACCCGCAGCGCTGGCGCGCGCGGCATGGGGCTTGCGGTGCGAGGGCCTCGAGAACCCGAATCGACGGCCTGCAGACCGCTCAGCGGGCCGAGGTGACAGCAGCCGCGGCGGCGACCCGGACCCTTGGGGGCCCCGTCGGCTTCGCCTCAGGCAGCCAGTACGTCGTGCGGTCTTGCGTCCAGGAGCACGCCGATTTGTGGCTGCAGCTGGCGGACGCCGCGCGCGCCGGGCGGCTGCGGGCCCGCTGGGTGCCGGCACGCAAGACGCCGGCTGAGGCGCGGCGCCTGGGCCTGAGCGAGCGCGACTGCCTCGGCAATGCCGCGGCTGACAGCAACGCCGGCGCTGCTGCGGCGCAGCAGGCCGTGCTCGCCTCAGGGGGCTGGAACTGCTGGAAGCGGCGCAGCGGGTGCAAGCGGCTGCCCAGCAAGCGGCCTTGGCCGCCGCGCCAGCGCGCCAGCGCCGCGTCCGGCACATCTGGCCGGCGGTCCGCCGCGGGGCTCGCGCCCGCGCAGCGTCCGCCCCTGCCTGCGGGCCCCGCCCCGCCGGGCCGCGCCCGCGCGGCTCCGCCAGCGGCCCGGCCGCGCCGGAGTTGCAGCGCCGAGCCCGTCAGCGGCGGCGCCATGCTGGCGGCTTCCTTCGCGGGGCGCTCGTGGTGGCCGCACTCCCTCGCGCAAGGGCCCGGCTCCGTCTGTTGCCTTCGCTGCGGTGGCAGCGCCGGGACCGCGGCGGCCATGCTGGGATGCGCATGTCCAGGGTGGCAGACGGGCTGCCAGCGTGGGGGCAGGCGCTGCTGCTCCTCGGCAACCTTCGCTGCGTTGGGGTCAACGCAGCAGAAGCTGCGCGCCCGCAACGCACAGCTGCCAAAGGTGCCCGAGTAAGTCGGACGCTGCCCCAGGCCGCCTGCGGCGGCGCATGTCGCCCGAGCCTGTGTATCAAAAACTGATTGATGCCAAGCGCAGGAGACTTTTCATTCGACTTTGGGACCTCATTCATCTGCCAGCGCCAGAGGCGCATTAGGCTGCGCCGAAAGAAAAGAAATACATACACAAGCTCACGCACACACACACATTTTCACACACTTTCGATCTGCATCGGCCACGCGCGCGGCGGCGAGGCGGAGTAAGTCCGGACACGCATGCACAGCGAGAGACACACGCGAATACGCCTGTTGCTTTGTTAAGCCAGTGGGCGGCAGAGCTTTCGGCCTCTTCCCCAGAGCTTGCTTGTCACCCTGGGTGGATTTCTCACGGTAGGGACCGAAAAAGACCCCACAGGATGCCGAAATCTATCAGATACGGTTAGACGTTCGAATAGAGTCCGACGTAGATCTGGGGGTTATGAGGACGGATGGGTAGGAAAACGGTATATATAGAGAGAGAGAGGGAGAGAGAGAGAGAGAGAGAAAGAGAGAGAAATAAACAACGAATATAAAGAGAGAGAGAGAGAGAGAGAACAAAAAAAAGAGACAGAGAGAGACAGAGAAAGAAATAACCAAAGAGACAGAGAGAGAGAGAGAGAGAACGAACGAAAGAGATGAAAGGAGGGGGAGGAGGAGGAAGAGGAGGATGAGGAGGAGGAGGAAGAGGAGGAGGAGAGGGAGGCGAGACACTCTCTGAGGGGCGAACTGCGGCGTGAGCAAGGCCAATCCTCGGCATGAGCTCCCAGCGCGGAGGCCCCCGCAGTGGCGTTGACGACGACGAAGCGACGACGATACTGCGGCGATCCCCAGGCGTAGTGGAGGTGGCAGGTCTGAACAGTTCTTATCAATTTGTTTTTGTTCGAGCATCCGTTCCTGACTCATCCTTACTCCCGTCTTCGCTCCTACCTCCTTCCTGCTTCCCTCGTCCTCTCCCCTCCGCATCGCCCTGACGGGATTTTGCCGTGAGGGCAAATCGTCTTATACCTTGAGGCTTTCCTCAGGACCGCTCGGCATCCCTCAGCCGTCTTCCGGCGGAGGGATGCCGAACACGGTGGAGAAACAGCTCCAGGACCCCTACCCGCCTGGACCCGTCTCCTTCGTTCGTCTCTGCCCTCCTCGGTTTAAGTCGGGCGTGTCACAGGAGGAATGTTCAAACATAGTCCAAACAAATAGTCCAGGGACGATGTTTCGACTATTTGTGTATATATTTGCACAAACTTGGCTACTTCTAATTTTTCACAAAAAATCGTCATGTTGGAGGACATGCCCGACCTAAGCCTGGACCCGTTTCCTTCGTTCGACTCTGCTTTCCTCGCTTGTCCTCTCTCCCCGCCGTGGTCGCAGATTGGCGGTTCCCGTGGGGCTGACAGGATGATGGATTCCCGAACTGCACGCACGACGTCAATTCGCTTGCCGCCCTCGTGCATATGATGGCGGGGGCGGCGGCAGGGGGGTACAATTGAGGGGGGCGAGGCGGACGGGAAAGGAGCCAGAGGAGGAGGGAGGGAGGAGGAGGAGGAGGAGGAAGAGGAGAAGGACAAGTGCAAACCCAAGACGCACCAGCGACGAATTGCTGGGGCTGGTGCGTCCTCAGTCAGAAGTCGTGCCAGGATTCCGTTTCTCAGAACTCAGCACCGAGGATCAAATCGACTGTTTCGTCGGCAGTGTTCCTGGGATTTCAACGGGTGCACAATTGTAAAGATGAGCGTGTAGGCGAGAGCCACATTTAGAAACCACCCTCCCTCCACCCTTGAATATGTTGCAAATCTTTAGACGCACATGCGCGGCGCTAAGGTCAGAGCCACATCCAAAAAACTGCCCGCTATCCATCCATGAAGCTGTCGCACATGTCAAACTTCAGGGTCACAACTTGTGAGCAAGTCTCAGGCGAAACGCCCAGCCCGCCCTACCGAGACGTCTGGGGTGCAACAGGGAGGAGCAGTTCAGCAGGATGTTGGCCAGCGTGGGCCTCAAACAGAGGAGTAGTAGTAGCAATCTGCGTTGAGCCAACTGTGTGGAGCAATGTACACTGTGCAATCTATATATATATATATATATATATATAGATGGTGCGTTCGGTGGTGTGTAATTTTTAATCGCTGCCCTCACTCCACTGGCTCATTCGCATCACTGTGGCTGCGTGGCGTGCTCCTGCCCAGGGGGAACGGTAGGGCAGGCAGGGCGGTCGTCGAGGAGATCATGTGGCTCGCACCCTGTCGACGAGAGCCGATAGATTGCGCCAAGAGCGCCATGATGGCTCAAGAGAGCGCTAGAAGAGTTTCGAGATGTATCTGGGTTTTGGGTCAAAGTCCGGTGGATGCTTCTGGGGGTCAATTCGGAGGGAGCTCTGAGGGGCAGTTTTGAGGCCTCATGGGGGCCTCTCGGGGATTCGTGAGGACCTCTTTGGGCTGGCTTCCTGGGGGCCTGTTGGGTCTTTGGAGCCTCTTTTGGGGCCGCTTGGGGTTCTCTCGGGGCCTCTTGGGATGCTCTTGGGGGCCTCGGGGGTTTTCCTGGGCGATTCGTGGGGCCGAGAGCTGGAAATGTCTGTTCGGGTTCCCCCTCTGGGCCCCATCTTAGGGGCCATCCTGGGGCCGTCTTGGCGGCCTCTTGGGTCGACTTAGGGTCATCTTTGGCCATTCGGGGCCCCCCTTGGAGGCTTTGGGGGTCGTCTTGGAGCGATCTTGGGGCCTCTTGGGCCATCCAGGGCGTTCAGCAGCTCGAAAGAGGCGGTACCATCAAAATCGTCTCAACACCCCAGCAACATCGATGGTTTTGGCATTTTGCGGCGAAGTCTTCTTGCATCCCTCATGGAGCGTCTTGGGCGCGTCTTGGGCGGTATCGGGACAAACGTGGGCCATCTTGGAACGCTCTTGGCCTGAGGCCGTTGGGCGCACCACCTTTTTGGCGCCTGATTCGGGCGCTCAGGGGGCCGCCGCGGCCGCGCCCAGGATTCTGGCATCTTTGGCCTGACCATGGCAGGACCTTGCCAGGATATTTTAAATCTGGGGAGCCCCCCCCCGGGCCGCCACGCGTGCGCGAGTTTGAAACATTCTTCAGCTTCACCGGAGATTTTAGCACGCCTCTGGCCCTTTGGGCCAGCGATTCTTTTGGTTCGCAGTGAATTGACAACTCCACTGCTCGCGCAATCATCCCACCAACCCATCCGCAACTGAGCTTGCAACACCCATGCGGCGGCGATTGCGATGACTGCTTGGCGCTGGCTGGCGCATCGCTGCGGCCGCGCTAGCATGCGCACGCCCGCATGCAGAGCGGCCGGCTGGTCTGGCGCGACCGGCGCGGCCGCGGTGGCGCTGACCGGTGGAAACTTCCCAGCGCATCTAGCAGGCCGCGCTGACGCACAGGCACTTCAATGCGAGTCGGTGATTCGGGCGGGCGCGGTATCATGGCAAAATCGACAAAGACAGACACACCGATGATTCTAGCGATGCTTGTGGTGCCGATGACGATGGCGACGGCAAGACCAATGACGGTCCCGTTGCTGGCCACGCCGATGACGATGATGGTGTCACGTGTCGGCGATGAAGATTGCGAGAGAAGGTTTTGGCATGCGCGCGCGGCCGACGGGCGCGAATGGACCGCATGTTCCGACTTCACAAGGATCGTTTCTCCCCTTTTTTCCCGGCGCGTGCAAGGGCGTTCGGATGATTCCGACATGCGCGCGCGGGAGACGCACGTTTGGTTGAAATTGGTGGAGAGTATGAAAAGAGTATGGAAAGGACCATTGGCTACCAAGAAGTCGAAAATGCACGCGCGCTGACCTTTGTTGAACAGCCGCATTGGAAAGCCATGTGTTTGTAAGTGTGCTCTGGGCCTTCGATGTTGAGATCCTTGCGGGGCCGATTGTTGTTGACGGATTCCAGCATGCGCGCGCGACGACACGCGCGCGTGCACGTGATTTGTGATGAACGAGCGTGCCCGCGTACAGTTTTTGCAGAGGACGGGGGTGGGTCGATACCAGCTGGTCCGGGATCGTGCGATTTCATGTTTGAAATACACAACGGGGCGGAACCATATGTACATATTTTGATGGCACTCTCAGTGTGGACGTTTGATCCCGGTTTCGGGGGCCTGGTGGAACCTATGCTGTGCAATTTATTTTGCGCAACCTGCGTGAAGCAATACATACGTGTGGAACAACGGGTGCTGTGCAATAGTCGGCGTGCATTGCTATGTTGCTTAATACATGTTGTGCAATCTATATCGTGCATTTTGTGTGGTGCAACTCCTGTGGTGTAACTTATGCGGTGCGCCATCTATGTGAAGTTTGCGATCTATGTGGTGCACTCTGTGGTGTGCTATCTATTTTGTGCACCCAGTGCGGTGCAAGCCGTTCAGTATAATCGATGTGGCGAATTCTACGTGTGCGGCTCAGGCTGTGCAACACAGTTGTTTGTGTAATGTAGTGTGTATATATGTATGTATCTATCTTTCGCTACAAGCATATGCATTGGTATGGTAAGAGGTAGTGTGTATGTATTGTCTTGCGATCTCTTATGCGCAAGCTATGTGGCACAATCCATGTGCTGAGCGATATATGTGATGCAACCGTAATGGTGAAACATCTGTGGCACCATCCACGTTGTTCAACACATGTGGTGCGGTCGAAGTTGTGCGATCTAGATGGTGTGTGTGTGACTTATTAAGTGTAATTCGTGGTGTTTTTATCCAGTGCGATTGAGACCACGCAATTTCTGGTGTGCAGTCTATTCGGTGCACGCTATGTTGTGCACTCTATGTTGTGCAAGGCACGCGGCGCAATCTGTGTTGTGCAATCTACGCGGTGCACTTGATTTTCGTCCGCAACGAGTTATCAAATCCATTGTTCGCCCAATCACCCCATCCAGCCGCCTGCAAATTGGTTTACAAAACCCTTGCGCCGGAGATTGGGATGACTGTTCGGCGTTGGCTGGCGCATCCTTGTAGCAGGGCTGGCACGCGCAAGCTCGCGCGCAGAGCTGGCGACATCCTTGCGCGTCCCGCTGGCCGCGCTGACGCGCAGGCACTTCAGTGCGAGTCGGTGGCCCGGGCGGGCGAGGTATCATCGTGACGTCGACAACGGCCGTCACGATGATGATTCTAGCGATGTTTGTGGCGACGGTGACGATGACGACGACAAGGCCAATGACTGTGCCAATGCTGATGACGCCGACCACGATGATGGTGTCCGTGTGTCGGCGATGCATGTTTTGAAAGGAATTGCGATCTGCGCGCGCGGCCGACGGGCGCGAGTGGCCCGCATGGTTTCATTTGTCAGGGATCGTGCCCCTCCCCACCACCCCCAGCAAGCGCGCAAAGGCGTTCGAATGTTTCCGACATGCGCGCGAAAGACGCAAGTTTAGGCAACAGCCGTGGTCCACTTAAAGGATGCGCGAACATACTGTTTTGAAACTTCACCTTGCAAAGCAAGCGTTTTAACACGTTTCTGGGGCATTCGATGTTGACATGTTTGCGGTGTTTGCGATTGTTGCATGTTTTCGGCCAGCGCGACGACGCGTGCGCGTGCACTTCGTCGAGACTGTAACAAGGAAGTTTACAATTTGGATAAACGATGTGGTCGTAGTTATTCTTGTTCTGCCAGGGAGATGGGGGGTCGACGTCGATTTGGCTGGGGTCGTAGGAGCTTATATATGTAATTGAACGAGTGGCCAGACACGCATGCCCATTGCACATTCCAAGGGGGGATCTGCTCGGCTTCGGGTGGGTCGTGAGTCCGGTGGTAAATTTAGAACGGAAGCGTAAGTGTGAACAACCTGGAGTTGTCAACTCCACTGTTCGCGCAATCGCCCCACCCACCCAAACGCAACTTAGTTTGCAAAACCATGCGGCGACATCTGCGGTGACTGCTTGGCGCCGGCTGGCGCATCGCTGCGGCCGCGCTAGCGCGCGCAAGTTTGTGCGCAGACCAGTCAGCTAGTTTGGCGCGACTGACGCGGCCGCGGTGACGCTGACCGCCGAGGACGTCCCAGCGCGTCTCGCAGACCGCGCTGGCGCGGAAATCGTGGCAACGTCGACAAAGGCGGATTTGACGATGATCGTAGCAGTGATTGTGACGATGATGGCGATGACGATGATGACCGGAAGGCCAATGACGTCGCTGATGCTGGTTGGCCACGCCGACGACGATGACGGTGTCCACGTGTCGGTGATAAAGGTTCTAGAAGGATTTCGATACGCGCGCGCGGCCGACGCGCGCGAGTGGCCCGCACAGTGTTATTGACAGGGATCGTGCTCCCCCAGCAAGCGCGCAAAAACTGCGTTCAAATGATTTCGATACGCTTGCGCAGGAGGCCCGCGTGGTTTCATGTTACGAGATTGGCGAAACATACGATTGTGCCCCTACGCATCCGCAACAGCGCGCGCGCATTTGTTGGAAATGTCCTGATGTGAAAGAATTGGTGTTGATATGTTTCGT